GGCAAAGCCGTGGCGCTGGCCGGCACAGCCGCGCTGGCCGAAACAGCCGCGCTGGCGACTGTGGAGCACCTCCACCCGGGGAATTTCCTAGTCTGTGGGCAATAAAAACGCGGCGTCCACTCACCCTCTGCGCTTTCACTGGGAGCTGCAATCCTGAGCTGTTCCTAAACGGCCATCTTGGATCATCCTCCTTAATTAGATCAACATACGTGTTTTTTATGGAAAAGTCATTACTTTACCATTTGAGGACGACGTGTGTCCAAGACCATATACCTATCAGTTGCACGACTGCATCTTGGGCCTCCTGAACACCAACCAGTACTTTTTCTACTATGGGTACACTCCTGCCTTCCTGTACGCCGTCTCCTGCAGCATTGGTCCAGAGTCAAACTCTGGGCCGAGTGAGGCCCTTGGGTTTTTCCCCCAAGTGTTTAACTTACTAAAGGTATTGTTACTGTCACCAACAAAGCGCAATCTTTTAAATAGTTGGTCGGCTTCTCTTGATGTCAGTTTCTTTAGACACATTCTGATATCTTACTGCAGTGGAACACCACAGAGAAATAAAATGATTACACTACAGCTACACATAGCAACACGGCTGAATGTTGCAAACATAACGTGAGCAAAAGAAGCCATATTTTGGCCAACTGTGGTGGTTCACACCTATAATCCTAGCACTTTGGGAGGCTGAGGTGGGCGGACCATGAGATCAAGAGATCGAGACCATCCTGGCCAACATGGTGAAACCCTGTCTCTATTAAAAATACAAAAATTAGCTGAGTGTGGTGGCACGTGCCTGTAATCCCAGCTACTTGGGAGGCTAAGGCAGGAGAATCACTTGAACCCAGGAGGCGGGGGTTGCCATGAGCCGAGATTGTGCCACTGCACTCTAGCCTGGCGACAGAGCAAAACTCCATCCAAAAAAAAAAAAGCCATATTTCAAGGGATACCAATTGACTTATTCTATATATAATAGCCTGAAGTTGGAAAAGACTGAACTATAGCATCCCCAGTCACACTGGTTAGCTTTGAAATGATGTGGCCCAAGAAGAACTTCTGGGTGCTGGTAATTTTCATTCCTTGACTTGATTGATGGTTACATGGGTCCTCGTTTTGCAACACCTCTCTGAGCTGTGCATCCATGTGTTAACTGTTTTCCGTATGTGTGCTGTACTTTGATTTTTAAGAACATTTTACAAAACGCTATGATGGTCCAGGTGTGGTGGCTCATGCCTGTAAACTTTGGGAGGCCAAGGTGGATAGATCACCTGAGGTCGAGAATTCGAGACCAGCCTGGCCAACGTGGGGAAACCCTGTCTTTACTAAAAATGCAAAACAATTAGCTAGGTGTGGTGGCAGACACCTGTAATCCAAGTTATTCAGGAGGCTAAGGCAGGAGAGATTCGCTTGAACCTGGGAGGTGGAGGTTGCAGTGAGCTGGGAGCATGCCATTGCGCTCCAGCCTGGGCAACAAGAGTGAAACTTTCAAAAAACAAAAAATGCTATAACAATATAGGGTCTACTCGAAAATTATGAAAGGGAAAAAGGAGACTCTGGTACCCATTTTTTCCTCTTGTTTTCTTCCATCTAACTCCCACTATCTTCAAGGCCCCCAGGCTGCTCAGGATCCCTTGGGTTGACTTAACTCTCTAAGTGTCCTCTTGGAATGAGTCCCTTCCCTGTTTCTTTGTAACACAGCCCAGTCATTAATGAATGCGACCGATAAACTCCTCTGTGTTCATGTGTGGAGGACCTAATCCATGACCTCCATATGATATACATGGAAAGTGCTAGAGACTGTGTTTTTACCTATCAAAAGTAGGTGGGAATTTTACACCCCATTAAAACACTGGTGGAGTTTTTTGAAGATGTCGATCAGGAGGTTATGTGAGGAGGGAAGAAATAAGGGCCCATGAAAAGCATTTGAAAGACTGAAAAATTGATTATTTCATTTAAAGGAATGATCATTTCATTTAAACTGGTAGAGACAGTGCATTTAGCTATCAGAGTAGGTGGGAATTTTACACCCCATTAAAACACTGGTGGAGTTTTTTGAAGAGGTTGATCAGGGGGTTATGTGAGGAGGGGAAGAAATAAGCGCCCATGAAAAATATTTGAAAGACTGAAAAATTGATTATTTCATTTAAAGGAATGGTTCAGATTTTCGTATCTGGAAGGTGCTCACTTGAATTCAGTGGACTCCAGTGTCTCCTCTCCCCTGAGACACTGTGATTACTTTCACCAAAGCCAAAGGCAAGGGAACTCTACTTCACTTCTGCATACTTCTTCAGAGGATTCTAGATGGGAACCAGGGTTCACTCACCGTCCAACTATCAGGAGCTCTTTCTCTGATGCTTGCTTCCGCACCTTGGTGTAGAGGTCAATGGTGAAGAGGGTGCTGGCGCTGTTGAAGATGGAGGTCAGGGAGCTCATGAGAGAGGCCAGCATGACTGAAAGCATCAGGCCTCGCAGTCCTGGAGCCAGGAGACAGTACAAGCACTGGTTAGCAGCTGAACACTCTCTTGCTAAACCAGAGAGTGTTCAAAGATAAAAGCATCATCTGGAACATAGGTTAAGTGATGTCCTTTTCAATACTCAATCAGCATGTGGAGTTTCCTGCATATTTCCTGGTCACCTGAGAATAATCCAGTATAATTCAGTCAGGCACAGAAAGACAAACATTACATGTTCTCATTTACTTGTGCCATCTAAAAATCAAAAACGAACTCATGGATATAGAGAAGGATGGTTGCTAGAGGCTGGGGAGGGTAGTGCAGGACTAGAGGTGGCAGCAGGGATGGTTAATGCGTACAAATAAAAGCGAATAAGACCTGCTATTTGATAGCACAACTGGGTGACTATAATCAATAATAACTTAATTGTACATTATAAAATAAAGAGTGTAATTGAATTGTTTGCAACTCAAAAAATAAATGCTTGAGGGGACGGATTAAAGCAAAAATAATTTTAGTCCTAAACGTGAACTTAGAGATCATCTGCTGGAACTCAGTTTTAGAAGAGAAGAAACAACATCACACCATCTTTCTTAGGGTAGAGAATCTTGGCTTCCTCAAAACTTAAGAGAACTGGAGAGGAAGAAATCCAGTAGGTGGTTCCGCTAAAGAAGTCTTGGGAGTGGCAAAGCCAAGAGTTTTGAGCCATGATGGGAACTTCATCCTCCAGTTCCCTCTGCCCATTAGTAATGGCCCTAAGCCTCCCAGGACAGAGTGAATGGGGAGTATGTGGTGTCATGCTTGTGGGCCCTGGTCCCTCCCTCCCTCCCGTGTGTCAGGGTTGAGGAAAGTAGCAGAAGCGTAGCCAGCTCTTGATGAGCCTAAGGTACGAGATCACCTGGTCAAGTCCTGAGCTCTGTACCCTGTTCCATTTCTGTTCACCGTAGCAATGATCACCTTCTGGCATCCTAATTATTTGCATATTTCATATGTGTGATTTGTTTTCTATCTCAGACTAGTAGATTGTGAGTTCCAAGAGGTAGGGGACTTTGTGCCTACTCCACTGATGTTTTATTAGCACCAAAGCATTTCCTGGCACTTAGAAGGCACTCAGTAAATAGTTGCAGATTAAATAGATTGAGATCTATTATTTGATTATCACTAGCCCCCAAAAAAGCAGAATAAATAGTTTATCTCTAGGCCTTGTGTTTATAAGTTTATGACTTATGCAACTCTTTTAATGACAAATGGATTATTTAACTGTTCTTTGATGCCTCAGAAAACAGTCTTGAATCTGAAGGAGTAAGAATTTTTTTTTTTTTTTTTTTTTTTTTTTTTTTTTTTTTTTTTTTTTTTTTTTTTTTTTTTTTTTTTTTTTTTTTTTTTTTTTTGAGACGGAGTTTCACTCTTGTTACCCAGGCTGGAGTGCAATGGCGCGATCTCGGCTCACCGCAACCTCCGCCTCCTGGGTTCAGGTAATTCTCCTGCCTCAGCCTCCTGAGTAGCTGGGATTACAGGCATGTGCCACCATGCCCAGCTAATTTTTTGTAGTTTTAGTAGAGATGGGGTTTCACCATGTTGACCAGGATGGTCTCGATCTCTTGACCTCGTGATCCACCCGCCTTGGCCTCCCAAAGTGCTGGGATTACAGGCTTGAGCCACCGCGCCCGGCCAAGGAGTAAGAATTTTTATAGCAGTAATTGTACCCATTTCATCTCTGAAATTTTCAGGCCTAGCACAGGGCTGGTAGCCTGTGGAAGGTGCTCAAGAAAGAGTCTGATGAGTTGGACTGAATTAATGGAAGGTGGAAGAATTGTACCAAAACCCTTCCTTGGGGCTGTCCCAGAGGGACATTTTCCTACCTTGGGGCATCAGTTCCAGCACCATCGTTGCGTATGCGTAGTTAGTGCAGCCGACCTCAACACCACAGTATTTCACGCATTCAGAGGGTACCACACATGCTACCTTATCTGAGGAAGGGATTCAGAAGCAAGTCCAGTGAGGCCCAAATAGGCACAACCAATAACCATTAAGCAAAGAGAAAAGTTGTAAGATCATAAGAAAGAAAAGACATTTATTTGCCTGGAAACTGGAGATTGAACTTTGAACTCCATACCATAGATCTGGTCCCTCTATAGAACACAACCCCAAATACATCGTCCCTATAGCCTCTTGCACTGGCCCATGGGACAGGGGCCTCCTTGGGATGTGGCCTAGCAAGAGCAGTTGAGCAAAGAGAGAGAATGGACCCCATCCTCCGGGAAAACAGCAAAAGAAGAAATTCTTACAGAAACACAGAACTCTAGAGATGGGCAACAACAGGAAGTTAGGTCCTGTGTGTAGTCACATTTAGCCTAGTGTCTTTCACCTGCATCTGAGAAGAGGCATCGCTTGTGGTGGTCAGTTGGATGACTGTACCATGTGTGATGATGCCCCAGCTCTGTGGCAGTTGCACAATATCTTGATGGTTTTTTATTTTTGCTTAAACAGCATTACGACAACCGACAGGAAGAATTGATAAAGAATCACCCAGAATAATAACATCTCGGCATAGTAGCTTCTTTTCATTCCTTCCTAATCATTTTCCATAGAGAAATGTCTTTTTTTGTATAACTATTTTAGTTAAGATATTATTTTGCAAGTTTCTGTTTATATTTAATATCATAACCTCAGTATTTTCCCAAGTTTTCAGATACTCTTCAGTCTCCTGTTTCCATAAAGGAGGTGCACAGTAAAAATTTCTTTGGCCATTCGCCACTCATTAGATGCTTAGACTTTCTTTTAAGAGATGGAGTTTTGCTGTATTGCTCAAGCTAGTCTCAAAGTCCTGGCCTCAAGTCATTCTCCTGCCTCAGCCTATGTTTATAAGAGTAAAGAGGAGCCAACCCAAATGCCCATCGGTGGTAGACTGGACAGGGAAAATGTGGCACATATACACCATGGAATATTACACAGCCATCAAAAACGATGAGTTCGTGTCCTTTGTAGGGACGTGGATGAACCTGGAAACCATCATTCTCAGCAAACTGACACAAGAACAGAAAATCAAACACCACATGTTCTCACTCATAAGTGGGTGTTGAACAATGAGAACACATGGACACAGGGAGGGGAGTATCACACACTGGGGTCTGTCGGGGGGAAATAGGGGAGGGACAGCAGGGGATGGGGAGTTGGGGAGAGATAGCATGGGGAGAAATGCCAGATATAGGTGATGGGGAGGTAGGCAGCAAATCACACTGTCATATGTGTACCTATGCAACAATCTTGCATGTTCTTTACATGTACCCCAAAACCTAAAATGCAATAAAAAATAAAATAAAAAAGAATGGTCACACCTCAGCCAGGCGTGAGCATTCTTTACTCTTATAAACATTACAAAGCTGCAATAAGAGGTGATGTTCACTTAACAAGATTTCAGGGAAATCAACTAATGTCTTGTTCAGAAAACGTGAAGTGGATTAAGTGTTATCTGATGGATTATTCCAATAAAAATGAGTCCTCGATTAGCCAAGAAAGATTTGGTTATATTTCCTTCACTTTTCATAATAAAGGAAGTTGAATTTTTTTAAAGGAAGATTTTCAACACTAGCAGTTATTCTCAGCTGAGTCAGAAATTTACATATGCTCAACCTGATGCCAAAGCAGTGAAAATTGATTCAGTTCTTCAGTTTTCTGAGAGACACCAAGACCTTATCAATCAGAGATGTCACCATATTCAGCCAGTACAACTCACTTGACTCAAATTAACCCAGTTCTACCTCATGTTTTGCCATATTCTCTGGGCTTCCTTAAATCTAAGCATCTCATGAAAACAGAACTCACAGATTCAAATGTCTACCAGACAGGCAGACGGTATGAAAATAATAAAGAAATGGAATGTCCAATGTGCCAAATTTTCCTGCCTCCAACTGCTAAGAAAGCTGTTCCCTTCACCTGGAATTCTGCTTTTCCTCCCATCCAGAATGGATTTTCTGAATGTTTTATGACATTTTAAAAAGACTTCTCAGAATTCAAGCATAAAAAAGAGACACTATACGGATTCAGGGCTCACCTGTGTACAGAATGCGGCTGATCATCCCCGGCATCACCATGAGGAACATGGGCAGCAGCTTCAGGTAAGCACACATGATGCAAGCAGCCTTCACGTGAGACATGTCCTTGCCACACAGGCAGCGCTGCACAATGACCTGCCAGGAAAACGTGACACACTCATGAAATAACCCGAGGATGATTTCAAAGGTAGTGAGCCTTTGAATCATTCACCCTTTCCAGTGTGTGTTACAATAAGAAATGATGTGGATCAGTATACCAGAGAGCTATCTGCACTCCTGTGTTCATTGCATCACCACTCACAACAGCCAACATATGGAATCAACCTGAGTGTCCATCAGCAGATGAATGGGTAAAGAAAATGTGCATAAAACACAATGCAAAACCATTCAGCCACACATAACAATGAAGTCCTGTCATTTGCAGTAACATGGATGGAGCTGGAAGTCATTACATTAAGTGAAATAAGCCAGGCACGGAAAGACAAATATCACACATTCTCCCTCATATGTGGGAGCTAAACAAGTAGATCTTATGGAGGCAGAGAATATAATGGTGGTTGCCAGAGGCTGGGAAAGGGAGGCAGGGCATAAAGAGAAGTTGGTTCACAGGTACAAACATATAGTTAGAAGAAGAGCACTCTAGTGTTTCATAGTAAAATAGTGTGACTACAGTTAATGATAATTGATTAAATATTTCAAAATAGCTGGAAGAGAAGAACTGTAATATTAACACAATGAAAAGATTAAGATTTGAGGTAGTGAACATCCCAGTAACCCTGATTTGATCATTATATATTGTATACATGCATTCTATTGTGTACCTGATCTTGGAATCAGGTTGTCTGAGAATATGTAAATTTCTGAATCAGCTGAGAGTAACTGCATGTATACATGCATCAAAATATCACATGTACCCCGCAAAATATTATATATAAACAACTATAATATATATGTATATGATATATACATAACTATATCTAGATATATATCTAGATGTGATACATATACAACTGTGATATATATGTGTATATATAGATCTTTATGTATTATATAATAGTTGTTTATCGTATTTTGGGGGTACATGTGGTATTTTAATACATGTATACAATGGGTAATGATCAGTGTCTAATAATGTGCTTTGGAGCTATGATCAGGGTTTGAATCTTGATTCCTTTTGCATAGTATTTGAGCTCTGTGAGCTTCAGGTTTGTCATCTCAAAAATATGGTTATCTGTTGCAGGACTTAATATTTGGTATGATGTATGTAAGACCCTTGGTACAAAGAAATTAATATACATTAGCTACTATTAAAATATATCTGCAGCTCCCAGGCTGCAATGCAACAACAGTAGTGAAACCATGCCCCAAAGAATTAAAGAAACAGTGACTAAATTCTTAAGCCTACAGGATAGCAGATAACAACAACAACAACAACAAACAACTTGGCCGGGCGCAGTGGCTCACGCCTATAATCTCAGCACTTTGGGAGGCTGAGGTGAGTGGATCACCTGAGGTCAGGATTTCAAGACAAGCCTGGCCAACATGGGGAACCCCATTTCTACTGAAAATACAAAAACTAGCCAGGTGTGGTGATGCCCACCTGTAATCCCAGCTACTCGGGAGGCTGAGGCAGGAGAATCACTTGAATCAGGAAGGTGGAGGCTGCAGTAAGCCGAGATTGCGCCACTGTACTCCAGCCTGGGTGACAGAGCAAGACACTCTGTCTCAAAAAAGAAAAAAAAAAGGAAACAACTTTTAGAAACACTGAAACTCATCCACTTGTGAGATCAAGAAAAAAATGGCTGAAATTGGCTGGGACCAAAATGGCCAACTGAAGTCTGTGCAGAACAAGGTTGCTGAGGTAGCACCGTGAATTTCCACTGCATGTTTCATGTGAACTCCTCCAGAATTTGCATATGCAACCCACAAGGTAGCATGAAAAGATAACTGGACATGCCCAAGGTCTTTTCAGAACTTCCCTTCCCTTCCACCAATCACCTGCTAATCTCAGAATCCACCCTTTGAACCTTTTTAAATAAAAATACTGCCTTGAAGCCAGCAGGAGACAGATTGGAGCTTGACTCCTGTCTGCTTGTAAGTCTACTTGTGATAAAAAGCTTTACTTTAATCAAAAACACAGTGTTATAGTATTGGCTTCTAGTGCATCAGGCAGTGAGTTCCTTTTGCTGGATAACAGCAAGTGATGTGCCAGGTACAAAGCTGTCACTACTGACACCACCATAAGTTGTGGTTTAATTCGTGTCTTTCATATCGTAGGCATCATTACATAGTATCTCCCTATTGTTACGGGGCAGTTATCTCCTTGGCAAGTCAAGTTAGTTGTCAGGAAACACCAGGGTCAAGCAGCCATTGGAAGAAAACACTGAGACACTGATTTCTAGATTTCTTCAGAATATTCTGAACCCTCACCTGGTTATTAATCCAGTATAAGAGTCTTGGAAAAAATAATCCAGAGAACTTCAGAATTCCTACTTATGTTATGCAATCTCAACTAAGAATTTTGTAGCAAAGTAGGATGTCTACCCATAATGTCATAACTTCTTGGTATTTTTCTTCTCAAGGATTGTCAGAAAATAGAGATGCCTTTTTCTGCATAATTCTCTTCGGAGAAACAATCCATTAAGGATAGCAGTGGTGTCATTTTGTGCTGGGGGAGCAGACAGCATTTTTAGACAAAAGTGGTAGAGGTACAGCACAAATGACAGGTGAGCAGGGGAGCCCTGTCAGCAGTTGAGCAGGACCAGCATCAGATCTAAGGGGAAGGTAAGGCCACTTGCAGGAGGCAACCTAGGGAGTCAGAGAGGAAATATACATGATAAAGATGGTTCCACATGTGAATGATGACATTATGCATTCTTTGGTAGATATTTTGGTAAACTCATTACATAGAGAAAAATAAAACTCTGACCACTGATTCATACCAGGCTAAAAATTGTGAAATTATGAACTTGACGTTGACAGAGATTCTTCAGGAAGAAGGAAACTTCAAAAAACAAAAACTTAGGTGATATGAAAGAGAATACTCAGAAAACAGACAAAAAACGATATCATCGTTCAAGTTTGTAAACACAAAGGCAGAAAAAGTCCAGGAAAAAGTGGAGAAAGTCTCCTAGAAGATAGAGCAAAAAGACCAAGAGATGGAAAATAGGAAGAAAAGGTGAGAATAGCAGAGAACCAGCTGAGGAAGACCGACACCCAAACAGAGAAGGTCTCAAAAGGAAAAGAAAATGGAAGAAATCATAGAAAGAATACCGTCAAATTATCCAAGACATACATTAACAGGCTAAGCAAGCTCACAATTATAGATCCACACAATAGTGCATTGTGGGGAAATTTCAGAATACTGAGGACTGAGGAACGGCTTGCATCCAGAGACAAAGACACAGTCATATCCCAAGGATCAAGAATGACTTCAGAGCCAGGCACGGTGGCTCATGCCTGTAATCCCAGCACTTTGGGAGGCTGAGGCAGGCAGAATCAGGAGGTCAAGAAATAGAGATCATCCTGGCCAACATGGTGGAACCCCATTTCTACTAAAAAATACAAAAATTAACTGGGTGTGGTGGTACACACCTGTAGTCCCAGCTACTTGGGAGGCTGAGGCAGGAGAATTGCTTGAACCTGGGAGGCAGAGGTTGCGGTGAGCTGAGATCGTGCCACTGCACTCCAGCCTGGCACCTGGCGACAGAGCAAGACTGTGTCTCAAAAAAAAATTTAAAAAATAAAAATTAGGGTTGGGTGGTGGCATGCACCTGAAGTCCCAGCTACGGAGGAGGTTGAAGCAAAAAGAATCTCTTGAACCCGGGAGGCATAGGTTACAGTAAGCCAAGATTATATCATTGCACTCCAGCCTGGGTGACAGAGCAAGACTCATCTCAAAAAAAATAAAAAGACTTCAAGCTTCTCCACAGTGACGGTGAAATCCAGAAGACTGAGTCTATGACTCTGAGAAACATTATTTCTAACCTAGGACTGAATATATGAACAAATGATCAATCAAGGAAAGGTTAGAGTGAAGACAATTTCAAATATGCTAATTCACAATGTTTAACTCGTAGGAGGCCTAGCTCAGGAAGATACTAAAGGTTTTGATTTGCCCTGAAAGACGGAATAAACTAAGAAGACAGCAGGTGATACTGGAAAAAGAAATAAGCTGAGTAAGGCAAAAATGAATTCCCAAAGATGGTAGTGAAGGGCTCATTGGATAAGGTTGGACACCAAACAGAAGGAGCGCTGCCAGACTGTGAGAGGGCAAAGGCTCCAAGAGAACCTTTTATTCAATGAGTAATAATTAGCAAGAAAATTCAAAATGAAAAATTAAGAATTGGCCAGATGCGGTGGCTCACACCTGTAATCTCAGCACTTTGGGAGGCCAAGACAGAAGGATTGCATGAGTTCAGGAGTTTGAGATGAGCCTAGGCAACATAGTAAGAGCCTGTCTCTATTTAGAAAATAATGTTTTTAAAAAAGAAAGAAAAGAAAGAGTAATTAAAATTATTCCAGGAATAAGAAAAAGCTAAGGCAAAGCCAGGCACTGTTCATCACGTGGTTCAGCTGTGAATTACATTCAGGTAGTCACAGAAATGGTGGTGGCACTGAATGCTGATTTCTTCAAAATTGTTATTGACAGCTATTGGGAGGATGGGGAAACAGGTGTGCTTGCATGGGACTGAGAAGGGAAGGTTGAAGGACAGCTAAACTCATCCTTCATCATAGGGAAGCCACTGATAAAATCCTAAAACCAAAAGGGAGCAACATAAGCATTTATCTGAATCACTTGGGGATCAAGTGAATGAGTAGACTCCAATTCAAAGGGTCTAGATAGGGTCATAGTTATCTGAGTTTATTCTAGTGAGCTCCAAGGTGATGTCCATGCTGATGGCTCACAGACTGCACATTGAGCACAAGGATTTAGGGAACAGAAATAAATGCCAAAACACACACTTAAAAGAGCTGAAAGCATTTGCCTCTAAAGTATAAGAAATAGGGTAGAAAACAGGGAGCTATGCAGCTATTTTTAAATAGGCTTTGTAGAAGTGTTTGACTCTTTAAGCCGGGCATGGTGGCTCACCCCTGTAATCCCCAGCACCAAGGTCAGGTAGGTGTTCAAGACTAGCCTGGCCAACATGGTGAAACCCCATCTCTACTGGAAATGCAAAAATTAGCCGGGTGTGGTGGCTCATGCCTGTAATCCCAGATACGTGGGAGGCTGAGGCGGAAGAATTGATTGCACCTGGGAGGCAGAGGTTGCAGTGAGCTGAGATCATGCCACTGCACTCCAGCCTGGGTGACAGAGTGAGTGAGACTTCATCTCAAAAAACAATGAAGTGTTTGACTCTTTAGATGACATGTGTGCAAAATAGAAACTAAATATATTTCTGAGAGACAAGAAAGAACAAGAAACACATACACACATGCCCACACAAACACACACACTTCACCTGATTTGTGCACCAGTACCACAAAGCTGTAATGGGCGTTCCAAATACAATTCCTGGCCATGGAATATCCCCAGTGACAGGATCTCGGAAGATGTGGAAGGAGTCCTCCCGAGGTGTGTAGCACCTGGCATTGATTGTCAAGTTGTCCCCCTTGACTACGGACGGGATGGCATTCATGTACTTCTCGGTAAAGCTTTCATAACCTCCAACTTCGTTAAATGCTGAAAAGGTGTCAGAGTAAAATGAGATGTCTTACTGAAATCTAAGACGTCCAGTGTTTATGGTGACTATTTTTTGGTGAAAGTACACAAGCACCTCCTATCAGCCCAGTTGAATCCTCAGTGATCTTCTCTCAGGTCCATGTCTTTCTGGTACCCCCGCTGGCATTGCCATACTACCAGATTGCCTTTCACGAAGTACACAAAGCAAATAACTCTGGCTTGTCTTCCTATGTTGCTCTTTGAAGTTTTGAGTTAGTGTCTCTTTTAAGATAAAAATGAAGCTGTTACCCAACAGGCTGACACTGATGTATCACAACCATTTAGAGCATAAGCAAACTGGAAGGGTGAGCTAAGGTGAGCCTCATAGGATCAACCATCAGAAAGCCCCAACTCCTCTGAAAAGAACAGGAGCCAAAGGCCTCTCTTCTTGACCCAGAGTTTGGCTCTTTTTATCTTACTTGCAATCTCGTTTTCTGATGCAACACAAATTTTGCCTGTTACAATAAAAAATTGGAAAAATAATGAGCAGAAATTGGGGGTGGCAGGTTAGACATGACAAGTGAAAATGATGAGACTCAGCCTGTTTGCATCTAGAAAGGATAATCAGGTGCAGAAGAGAATTGTATTTGCTCTCAGAAAGCTGAGCTCAGGCATCTGGGGTCCTTTAATGTAGCTTTAAATGATGAAAAATTCATCAGGCTATTATACAATTGTAGGGTTGAGTTAACATTAATTTGCTTGATTATATAGCTAAAGGCCTACTATGTGCCAAACACTGTGCTGGGATCATGTGCAAAATAAATGTGCAAGGCAGGAACTTAGGAGAGTGGAGGATACAGACAATACAAGGAAGTTGCTTTGATTAGATAAACATGGTTTGTAACAAAAATACATAGGAGACCCTAAGAGATGAGAGTCCCCCTCTTCATCCTAAAGATGGGAGAATTGAGGCTTAGAAACCCTGATCCCAGGGAGTGCATCACTGAGGCCAGAAACCAAAGCACCATGAATAAGACCAGCACAGAAGTTCTGGGAAACCGAATAGAAAGTACACAGAGAATTGATGCTAACAACCTCTGGAGTAGCACTGTGCAATGGAAACATTCTGCATGATAGAACTGTACTGTATTTATGCCATCCCGTATGGTAGCCACTAGCCATATATTGTACACCTGAAATAGGGCTAGGTAAATGAGAAACAATTTTTAGTTTTCAGTAGCCATATGTAACTAGAGGCATTTATATTGGTTTAAAACCACCAGCTGTCACTGCATATTTGTTGTCTTTGTAGTTCTTTGAGTTTTTGCTTCATGTACCTACAAGCTGTGTGATTAGATACATGCACATTCAGGATCGTTGCATTCGGTGTAGCTTTAGTGGGTAGAGCGTGCTGACAGGACAGGGAAGAGATACTTATTTTCACCCTATATCCTTTTTACTGTGTGTATGGATTTCCTATGCAAAGAGAAATACCATAATAAGAGAAAACAAAAATTGGCAAGCTGTAAATTAATCAATATTGTTTGATGGCAATGAACTGATACTATAAAGTAAGCATTTTGAAGAAAAAGCCAACCGGTATTTATGTACTGTAACAATGTCTTATAATACATTTTCATACAAAATAGTCATAATGAGGTTAAGAATGTTTTGGATGAAAATCCACTACAATACATTGTTAGAATACACAAACATAGGTTGTGTATTATTCAGTTGAACTAATACTCAGTTCTCAGATTGTTTCCTACTGTTAAATCCTTCATTTCATAAAAATTCTATGTAAATTAAAGGTTTCCAGACTTTGAATCTAGTGCACAAATACTTGTGTAAAATTATCAACCCAATGGTACTGATTTTGTCTGTCCTTAACACAGAGAAATTAAGGTTAAATGAGATAACTTATCTAAGCAATAATTTTTAAAAGAAAGTAATGTTCTCCTCCTCCCCTACCCATTTCCTCATGCTGAGATAATAAAGCAAGAAAGAAATCAGGCAGATATTTCAGTGATGGGGATTATATAAATGACTGGAAAACGTGCCCAGATGGAACTGGAAGGCATCCCAATAAAGAGCAGACAGACTGAACAGAAACAAGTCCCATGATTTCCAGCCCCTGGGCACTGCACACAGGGTTCTCACTTACCAAATGCCATGAGAATAAAAGAGCCAATCAGCATAATGATAGTCTGGAGGGTGTCTGTGTAAATCACCGAGGCCAAGCCCCCTGGTGAGAGAAAAGAACCCCAGGGCATTTTATCCATGTGTCCTCATGTATTTATTACCTTCACCACTAGGTGATTCTCCACCCAGAACCCTGAAAACGACTCAGCAGAAGACATCAAAATCTCCTGGGTGAGCCACAAGCTTGTCCTGGCATCATGGTGTCCTCAGCATTGGTTCTACTTCTCATGCCTTGCTCTGATTAAGTTTCTGTGAATTCCCGTGAAATTTCATTTTTTTTTTTGTGAGTTTTTGAATATTAAGTTGGGGAAAAGGCAGCACTTCAATACCATGAAAGTTTATCTTAACAGTCCCTCAGTTGACCCCCATTCAGCACAGTGCACCTGCTCTAAAATATCTAGCAAAACCACTTTTGCTCTAGCGCTGGAACATAACATTGTTTCATTAATTCAATACCAGATATAGTTACTGTGTTTTGTGTTTTGGTATAGTGGAAAAAAAAAAACACCCAAACCAAAACTCTTTTTCAATTCTGGACTAACTAGGCTGTCAGTCAACAAGATATTCCCTTTATGAGAGTGTCATGGGAAAACAAGATGAATCCTGAAAACTCATGCCTTTATCTCTCCCTTATTATAAAACACATGCTCTGTGAAAGTTTTCTTTTCCAAAATAGAGACCCTTATGCCAAACCCTAACGAAATGGGGCTGGGAGGCCATGTAAGTAGGCCCTCCTACACCTATGCCTGTAACAGGAACTGTTGCAAGACATTATCCCAGCTAGAACTTTCTGGTTAAGCCACTTCTGTGAAGACTGTCTCCTAGCAACAGCCAGTGCCACCAATGAACAAACACCACCTCCTGCAATAAGCAGCTGAAACAATCATCTATTTCAGAACAGCTTATGTGGATTCTCCCTCTCTGTCTTTATAAGTCTCCCTTTGCCTCAACCCCCTTGGAAGTGCCTGTGGTCTGTCATAGCACATGTATCCTGGTTTGCAAACCCTCACTATTCCCGAAGAAACACCTCATTTTGGAGAGTTGCTTATTTTAGGTTGACAGCTCAAATGCACCAAAATGGCCCCAAAATTGTCCTAGCTGGTATTTTTCCTTAGGTTTTCCAACTCAGCTGGTATTGTTTAATTTTTATAAGTTAATATACATGAGAAGCATATCAACATACCTGGTTCATGAGAGCCTGCTTGGACTATTACCACACACCGTCTCCCGCCAGCAACCCGCTGCTCCAGTTTTCCTCTTTTAACTGTGCCATTCACGGCCATGGCCATGCCCTGGCATCCTGTGTTCATTTGAACCTCACCTTGCATTTGCCAGCCTCCTATCTGAGCTGCTGTTTCCTTGTGGATGATATGCTAAATTCTAAGTGCCAATCTGGGCACCAAACTCATAGTTGAACCAAATTACCTGTTTTGTATGCTCTAGTTGTGTTTCTGGTGCTGTGCTTGACTCACATAGTGGGAATGAAATGGTGTCTTTACCTTGGCAGTGACACAGCTAACACTGAGAATGCTAATTGCAGGTTGGGTTGGGATCAGCAGAAGACAGCCTGAGTGAGCAAAATATCCAACATACTCACCAGTGATGGTATAAACAGCAGTGATAGCCAAGAGGATAAAGATTGCCAGGTAAAGGTCCAGTCCCAAGGCCAGCTGGATGAATATGGCTCCAGAAAATATATCTGACTAAAAAGGGAACAGTCAGGATGAGAAGGAAACGTGCATTTCAGGCCACTGGTTTCTCTGCTCCAATGTCCACTCTTCTCAGCCCTTCTTTTCCTGGTAGACTCCTACTTATCTTTCAGGAATCCACTGAGACGACCCCAGAGTAATACCTTTCATAAAGCCTCAAAAAACAATTTTCACTATCTTCACTCTCTTCTATATTCTCATAGAAGTTAGTTCATTGCTCAGTTAAGGTGCTTTTTAAATGAGGTGACATGTCCTGAGAACTTTTTCTGTATCATGAGGCTTAGAGAAGCTGAGTAATTGCTTATAGAAAGCCCCTGGACTGTGATGGAGAATATATTCTATTGTGTGTGTTTCATGTACTATAAAATTTATTAATGGCAAAAACCGCAATTACTTTTGCAACAACCTAATATATTGGATAGAAAATATATACAAAAATAGCCTAGGTGTGGTGACTCACGCCTGTAGTCCCAGCACTTTGGGAGGCTGAGGCAGCCGGATCACAAGGTCAAGAGATTGAGACCATCCTAGCCAACATGGTAAACCTCTGTCTCTACTAAAAATACAAAAATTAATTTGGTGGCGTGTGCCTGTAGCTATTCGAGAGGCTGAGGCAGGAGAATCGCCTGAACCCAGGAGGTTGCCGTGAGCTGAGATCATTCCATTGCCCTCCAGCCTGGCAACAGAGTGAGACTCTATCTCACACACATAAAAAAAGATAGTATGTACAAAAATAGAAAGCAACCAAATAACATTGTTTCATATATGTTCCAAATAAATATATGGAACAATGATTTATAATTGTTTCAATTGGGGGGTTATGATTATTTATGAAATTGAGGGGGAAATGCAGAATTAATTTAGATTGTGCAGACTGTGCTGTAAATGCATGGTGCTGGTTGGAAATCAACTAAATACATGTGTCTCTAACCATCCTAGGGGCCCTTAGGTCTAACCATAAACAAAAGGAGACTAATCAACTTAGAAATCTCTCTAAGACAAACATATTTCAGTAGGAAGTACATTTTTCTGTCTACAATGTTCGGCTCAGCATAATTAACATGAATAATTCAGGACAATTTCCTGCTAGCTGTTACATATGTATGTGTATATATATACATATATATGTACATATATATGATTAGTTATGTATGTTAGTATACATATGTAACAGCTAGCAGGAAATTGTTATTTACATATATGATTAGTTATATATGTTAGTTAACATATATAAACATATATGTACCTATATGTGATTATATATGTTAGTATACATTATATATGTGTGTGTGTGTGTATATATATATATATATATACACACATATATATGTACATATATACGATTAGTTATGTAAGTTACTATACATATGTAACAGCTAGCAGGAAATTGTTAAAATTAGTATTCTTGTTTGCCAATGAGAATGTTTATAATTATCTGTTTGTTTTAACTTTCCTAAAATTATAAACAGAACCATTTTAAGAGATGAATTGGGTAACATATTTTCTCTCTTCTGGAAAAACTTAAGCTGCCAATGGATTATCTCTTCCTTGAAACCTTGAAAGAATTTACCCCCTACCCTTCTCCATGTCCCCAAACTAACCTGTCAGGTAGGTATTATCATCATTTTAAATCTGAGGAAACTGAGGCTTAGGGAATTTGTCCTGGATGACGCGGCTAGAAAGTGGTAAGCTCAGGATTTAAACCTGTGTGGTGTCTCAGAAGCTTATATGGTTAAACATATTGTTATACTGTTATCATGGGATTTTTACTTAATGAAATATGTCGGGGAACACTTAGAATAGATAAAATATTCTAGAAAAACGGTGAATGTGGCAGCATAGTTTGTGAACTTCCATGAATCTCTACATTAGACAAAGCAAGTGTATAGCAAAACCAACAAAATTAGATGACGGGGTATTTCCACGAGGCCCCAAAGGCAAGAAGGCAGGTGCAAATCAGCCTTAGCCACAAAACCTACATGGCAGCAAGATCTGGGAGGAGGCAGAAACAGCAGCTTATCTGCAGAAACTTATAGTTAGACATCCCCACATAGCCACCAGGTGACCACTGGGAAGCACAGTGGAACAATTGCGGGACTACAGCAGAGCATGGAAGGGGTTTTGCTTTAATAACCAGTGGGCAACTGTAAGGGCTCCTTGGTAAGTTTTGAAAGGGTTCAGAGTAGTCCAGGTCAAACAAGCTCTCAAAACTAATGGCCAAAGCTCCCTTTCAGAACAGGGACCTACACTGAGGAGAAACTTCTATTAAGTGGCAACAAAATTTGGCAAAATGAGGAACACCATGTTTGATGATACATTAGTCTTATGATGGGGATGGAGGAAAACTGCAAATAAGTTCGGAATTCATTTTTAGTTTGTTTTTTGTAGCAGTATGGGTGAGGCAATTCTGAAATCATTTTCTTTTTAAAAGTATTTACTTATTTTTGTTTGGGCCAGGCACAGTGGTTCATGCCTATAATCCCAGCGCTTTGCGTGGCCAAAGTGGCTGGATGAGTTGTCAATTTATGCTTTTGTTATCTGTGGTTTTGAGGCCTTACCCAAAAAAAGTCTTTTTTTTTTTTTTTTTTGAGGCAGAGGTTCGTTCTTGTTACCCAGGCTGGAGTGCAATGGCGCGATCTCGGCTCACCGCAACCTCCACCTCCTGGGTTCAGGCAATTCTCCTGCCTCAGCCTCCTGAGTAGCCGGGACTACAGGCACGCGCCACCATGCCCAGCTAATGTTTTGTATTTTTAGTAGAGACAGGGTTTCACCATGTTGACCAGGATGGTCTCGATCTCTTGACCTCGTGATCCACCCGCCTCGGCCTCCCAAAGTGTTGGGATTACAGGCGTGAGCCACCGCTCCCAGCCCCAAAAAAATCTTTGCCCAGACCAATGTCCTAAAGATTTCTGAAGCCATTTTTGATGGATTATAGGATGGAGCAAACAAATTGTGTATGTGTGCACCCGTGTGCGTGTGTGTGTGTGTGCGTGCGTGTGTGTGTGTGCACGTGTGTGTGTGAGTTGATGACTTGGAGAGTCAGGATTTTCAATTGTGGAAGAAGGAACATATGAATATAGAATTGTAGAAGGCAATAAAATACTATGTAGAGCTGGATTGGAATTGGAGGTATTAGTGGGAACTCACGTTTTGTAAACTATGTATATGTATGTGTATAGTTGCCCGGAAACTATATGTATGTGTGTATATGAATGTATGTATTTATGTGTGTGCATTTATACGGGTGTATGTATGCATTTATTTCCTAATTCTGTCAGCTAATAGAGTCAAGAAAAAAAGTCAACTTAATAAGTACACTTAGCACTCAGATTTTGGTTTCTAAAACCCTTCCCCACTAAAGGAGCCAGGGATGTCCCAGAAAAATAGGTGATTCCAGGGCTGGAGGAGGGCTGGTACAAGATGAGTCTGAAACATTTTGTTATGCCAGAATTTAAGAAATTGCTCAATAAAATGATGGGAGCATGCCCTATCCTTTACACAGAATCCAGTTTGGGGAGCTCTCACTGGCCAAATATGGCATGAGTATCAAAATAACTACATAAAATAATATTTGTAAGCCAATGATAAATAGAAATGTGTCAGTCCACATCAGTTATAGATAAATAGAGAGGGGAAGACTCGTGCCCTCAGTAGCCTGCTGAATGCTGGATGGGAACTATGGAAGGAGTGCCAGAGTTGAAAAATTATTTGTCAACTGTCCTAGTAAAGATTGGATCTGATAAGATCATTTATGAATGCTGAATCTACTGGAAAATTTCGAAGAGGAACTGAATATTTGAGTGGTTTAAAGGATCTAGCACAGATCCTTTTGGTTACAGGGGAAAATAAAACAATAATTCTGTATTGGAGAAATTGGGCAACACTTCGATCAGGTGATCATAATTAACATCACCATTAAGGAACAGATGGGTACCGAATGCTTCTAGATAGGATACTTTTAGTACGACACGTCTCTTATGCAGTATTCCAGCCAAGAAGAACGTATAACCTGAATCCAACTATGAAGAAATATCAGGCAAGTCCAAAATAAAGATTGTCATATTAAGAAGAGTGGAGGAGGGACTCTGTCCTTCAAAAATGTCAATGTCATCAAAGACAGAAAAGGGGTACATAGAAATGTTCCAGATGAAAGCAGGCTAAAGACATTTGGCAACTGAATAATACCTGACCCTAGACCGCATCCTGTACTGGAGGAGAAAGGATGATAAACAGGATTATTTCTGAGTCAGTTGACAAAGTTGGAATTTAAATTGTAGATAACTGTATCCATGTTATGTTTGCTTGAGTTGATAATTCTGCTGTGGTTTTGCAAAAAATTATCCCTGTTTCTAGGAATAATGATATACCCGGAACGCTTAGTTTAAAAAACCATCATTTTACAACTGCCACAGTAAAGACTGGATCAGGTAAAAATCACTGGATCAGGTAGAATCGTCAATGAATGTTAAGTCTGGGGGAAAATTTACACTGAAATTTTTGAGATCAAAGGGCAATGATGTATGTAACAATCTCAAATAGTTGAAGACATGTGAGAAACACTTTGGGAGGCCAAGAGGGGTGGATCATTTGAGGTCAAGTGTTTGAGACCAGCCTGGCCAACATGGTGAAACCCCATCTCTACTAAAAATACAAAAAAATTAGCCAGACATGGTGGCGCATGCCTGTAATCCTGGCTACTGGGGAGGCTGAGGCAGGAGAATCACTTGAAACTGAGAGGCAGAGGTTGCAGTGAGCCAAGGTTGCACCACTACACTCCAGCCTGGGAAACAGAGCAAGACTCTGTCTCTGTTTCTTTGTAGAACTTGGGGCTGGAAACAGGTATAGCAGGAGATGGTTGTATTTTTCTCTAAGATTTGAAATAAAACCTAACATTTTATCATTCCACCCGACTCTATTGCACATTGGGGTTTTTCAGGAATACCAACTAGTATTGAGGGAAGATTTCACTTTAAAAAAAATGTTCACCATTTCAGAAAAAGAATGTTACCTGTGGTGTTGCCCCTCGTGCATATCTGCCTCTGTCTGCATTTGTGGCTATTTTCATTCATACTGATTTTATACTCATCCACAGAGGGGCGATGATTACACCACAGCATTTTAACTTTTTATGTAGTTCTACTTAATCATTTCCATGTTAAAACACACTTTATCTTATTATGAATTCCTTGACCTTTGTTTCTATTATATAGTACTATTAAAGAATTAAATCCATGGTTTTGAATTTATATGTAAGTAGTTGACATAGTATCAATGAATTTTTTTAAAGAGATCTGGCACTACTCCAGATCACTCAGGCTGGGGTGTAGTAGCATGATCTTAGCCCACTGTAATTCAACTCCTGGACTCAAGTGAGCCACCATACCTGGCTAAATATATATATGGTATTTTTTATAGAGATAAGGGTCTCACTATTTAGCCCAGGCAGGTCTAGAACACCTGGCCTCAAGTGATCCTCCTGCCTCAGCCTCCAAAAGTGCTGGGATTATAGGCAGACGTCACTAGGCTCAGTCACCAATGACATTTTTTTTTTATCGTGGTGAAACATATATGACATAAAATTTATCATTTTAACCATTTAAGTATATAATTCAGTGGCATTAATTACGCTAACAATGATTATAGGCCGGGCGCGGTGGCTCAAGCCTATAATCCCAGCACATTGGGAGGCCAAGGCGGGTGGATCACGAGGTCAAGAGATCAAGACCATCCTGGTCAACATGGTGAAATCCCGTCTCTACTAAAAATACAAAACATTAGCTGGGCATGGTGGTGCGTGCCTGTAATCCCAGCTACTCAGGAGGCTGAGGCAGGAGAATTGCCTGAACCCAGGAGGCGGAGGTTGCGGTGAGCCGAGATCGCGCCATTGCACTCCAGCCTGGGTAACAAGAGTGAAACTCCGTCTCAAAAAAAAAAAAAAAAAAAAAGATTATAAATTATTTTTCATAGTAAAGAGGAATCGCAATGATTCGCTTGCTATAAAGGATTGTATTGAAAACAATAGTCAATATCTGAATAAAGACTGTAGATTAGATAATAGTTTGTATCAAATCTCAATGCACATGTTACTGCAGGTTGAGAACCAGTGAACAGGATGACCTTTTTCCAATCTGGGCAGAGGAGACCTATGAGAACTGTCCTGTCCTAAGATCTCATAATTACCTGTTTAATAAGTAACTAGGACACAATCTGTTATCAGAGTCTAAGAGTATACAGAAGGTCATGTCTAAGATTAATCGTGATTAATGTCACTTAAAACATAAAACTGCAGGCAAGAATGGACTCCTGCTAAGGTGTCTTTCCAGCCAACCATGGACTCTGCACAGCCACAGACACACAAATGACTTCCCTGCACCCGCACCCAGCTCACCAACATTCTGTCCCTCCCCATCCACCAGTAACCCTCCAGCCTGGGTATTTGCATCCCTTGAGGGCTGTTTCGCTGTGCATTGTCCTCTGTTCTCTGCCTTCATGCCTGCTCATGTTCCTTCAAACCATAAAGCTGTAGTGTCAGCACCAGAGGACAACTGGGAGATTGGCAAGTCCAACAATTTGAGGAACGTGTGAACCCTAAGCCCCTGACACCTGTGAGCTCCTCTGTTTCCCTCTGCCTCGCCTAACCTTCCCATCTTACTGCCTTAGCCAAATGGTGAACTCAAAAATCTTTGCTACCCCAACACAAGGCTCAATAATATGCAGTCATTGCTGGGCAGTGCCCACTTTGCATTGGGAAGGCTCATGCCGTCTAATCTAAACAGCTGGTTCACTTCCAACAATGACTCAGTTTGACAGGAGCAATAGGAAAGGTCAGCTTTTTCTCTCACAAACTCTGAGACACCTGCCTAGATTATAAACTTGAGATGATTTCATTAGTGACTGACACATGAGGAGCAAATATGTTAGCCTTTGTTTTTTACATGTGCTGCTGAATCTCCAAATTCCTTCCATCTTTCCTCACTGATTATCTTCAAAAAATATAACTTTTGTTGTTGTTGTTTTTGAAATGGCATCTCGCTCTGTCTCCCAGACTGGAGTGCAGTGGTGTGATCTCAGCTCACTGCAACCTCCGCCTCCTGGGTTCAAGCTGTTCTCCTGCCTCAGCCTCCCAAGTAGCTGAAATTACAGGTGTGCACCACGATGCCTGGCTAATTTTTGTATTTTAAGTAGAGATGGGGTTTCACCATGTTGGCCAGGCTGGTCTCGAACTCCTGACCTCAAGTGATTCACCTGTCTCAGCCTCCCAAAGTGCTGGGATTACAGGCGTGAGCCACCGCCCCGGCCCCAAAATTGTAACTTTATAAAAGAGTACTTAAAATGTACTTTAATTTTTTAACACTTATTTTTGACATGGGTATTACCATGGTGGTCTTAGATAAAGTAGAATGAATTTAAGAAAAATCAGTATAATAATACAAAGTACCTTCCTTGTGGCTTAAACTGAAAATGAAAATGTAAACTTGGACATGCTCTGAGAAAAAATATAAAGGTTATCCTGAGGTAGAAAAAGTAGGAGGCCAGAGAAGTCTTCCCTTTACTAAAGAGCTGTGTTGTTTGAATGAGACATTTTGTTCTTTTTGTACATTCATTTTTTCATATCCTTGATGAGAGGGCAGATTTATACCCTGGAGTCTCTCATGACTTAAAAGTCTACCACTTTATGAACACGGGATCTTTGAAGCTCCCTTTTTCCCCATAGGGCTTGGAAGAGACACCCCTGAGAGTTTAAGACATCCATATGGCATAACCCTTGAAAGGCTGTTGACAGTCTATACATCCAGCTCTCTTATATTAGCACTCTGGCGCTGTCTGACAACCTCTTGAAGCTAAAATGTCAGGAGGCTCTGAACTCACAGAGATTGACAAAGTCACACAGATGAAGAGGGAGAGGATGGAGAGGTAGACCTGGAGTCGCTCCCCACCAAACCGCTTCTTGAGATATTCTGGCATGGTCATCACCTGCAGAGACAGACATTGACAGGAAGTTACCCTTAAGTCCCTGTGTGTTCAGATTATTCAGCATTTCCTAAGCACCTGTAAGTGAAAGGGCTGTGTATGGCCCCTTCCTTGTGATGAAACCATGGCTTCTGTTCATGGAGGTAGACCTGTTACCTTGGACAGTGACTGGCAGAAGGTGGATTCTTAAACCATGCTTCTGAAGAGAATGGCACACCCATTGATAACTCCAGCCAAGGTCTCTCTCCTGACCTATCTGTAGATCTCACTTTCCCAGTGCCAGCTGGGTGTCTCCACCTTAGTGTCCTGAATGCACCAAACACTTAACCTGTTGCAAAATGAAATCATTACTCTCCTTTTCATCCATCATTTACCTCTAATCTGGAATCCCTGGCTCCATTAATGGTGGCCCTCAAGCACCCCAGCCCTCAAGCTTCAAGTCTCAGAGCTGATCATAATCCTCCCCCTCCACTGCCTTCGTCTTTACTCTGCCATCAAACCTGTCATCTCTACTCCAGGGTCGTCATGCAGGGACACCACTGATTTCCCAACTGGTTGCGGCCACATTCTATACTGGAAACGTCTCTAGGCAAGAAATTTGACTTTTGTCTTCTGTATATTACTAGCAATAGGCCAGGTGAAGGACAGAAACCCAGGTTTCGTGATTGAAGAGAAAGAGTGAATGAATGAATGCCTGAAAGATACACCTGACAGATTTACCCAGAATACCTATGAATATGGAACTGGCCCAATCGTCCCATAGAATTGATGTCTGTGGTTTCTTTGAATAAGCATAGAAACTGATCCTCCCAGTCTTGTAGAAAGTTACCTTTGTCTTATCTCAGTTCCTGTCTCAGAAAATCAATAATCAGGCCTCCTGGATAGGGTCAAAGAGCTGAAACTCAGGAGATCACCACACGTGAACAATGAGAAGCCAGACCCCTCACCTTTTATAATTGTCTAACCCATCATCTGCTTCCTGTTGACTGACTTCTCTTCCTTATCCGCCCCCTCATTCCTGTTTTCCCACACATGGTTATATATCTTCCCTGCTATATAAACCCCTTATTTTAGTCTATCAGGAAGATGGGAGTTGAGACTGAGCTCCCATCTCTTTGGCTGCAATACCCCAAAAAGCCTTTTTTCTTGGCAATATTCATTGTCTCAGTGATTGACTTTCTGTGCAGTGAGCAGCAGTGCCTAGAACTGAACTCTGGCCTTCTGGTAACAGATACTCACCCCTGCCTTGATATAGATGGGGACAAAGATCCATCCAAGAATCGGCAACATTATTGAGGACTATGAGGAACCAAAATAAGAGAGTGAGATGTTAAAGAGGCTTGGCTTGTGGAGCTTGTCCTTATATGACCTCTGAGTCTGAAAATTAAAAAGAAAAAAAAAAAGTTGGCTTAATCCTGTCCCATTCAAACAATTATCCTGAGACAACTGTGAGTTCCTTTTTTTGTTTCTGTAACTCGGGCCACCATTTTCTGGGGCTTAAGTTGCCACAAAATATGTGTGGTGAAAAAGGGAAAGAATATAAGGGATCTGATCCCAGTGGAACCCCCACAAGGTCATATAATCTTTGCCAAAGGATTGCATAAATGAAAAGTAACGGAGGATGAGAAAGGAATCTGGAAATAGAATATCCCCAGTGTTCCCCAAGTCTTGCCACATCCAATGATGATAATAATATAATCTAGCATAAATATGTAATTTTTACAAAGAATCTTTTCATATATCACTTATGCTGCTCTCAGTCTAAGTGAGGCAGATGTGAGAAGCACAGTTATGCTTATCTTACAGAGGGGAAACTTGAGCCTTACAGAGATTAAGGGAGCCCAAAGTCATAGTCACAGGAGGTGACTTGAGTTCTCTGCAGCCTGCTTGTCACACCCACTTGGTACACAGGTCATTCTGCCATGCCTCTGGAGACTGATTTCATTCTAGTGTCCAAGGCACTATTAAAACAAAGCTTCGGCCATAGAGCCTATCTGGAGGCTGGATCCATCCTGGACTCCCGGATATTACTAAAGTAAAAGTAGGGGCAGAATCTTCAACAGGAGAGGGGCACAGGCATTTGTGATTGCTCAAGGTCACTTTGAGTTCAACCTAGGATAGTCTGTTTAAACTTTCAATATGACCCAAGTTTCCTTTACATAGGCATCCCCTTCTGCCCAATGTGCACATGCATGTACATGAAAACATCAGAGAGTAACATAAAAGAACAGAAAAACCCAGGCAACTCAAGAACTATTGGCGGCACATCCGTCACATGTCCAGCCGTGTGCTACAGCAAACTTGTCCATCCTGTGGTCCAAGCTAGCTTTGAATGCAGCCCAACACAAATTTGTAAACTTTCTTAAAACTTCACAGGTTTGGCCGGGCGCAGTGGCTCACGCCTGTAATCCCAGCACTTTGGGAGGCCGAGGCGGGTGGATCACGAGGTCGAGAGATCGAGACCATCCTGGTCAACATGGTGAAACCCCGTCTCTACTAAAACTACAAAAAATTAGCTGGGCATGGTGGCGCGTGCCTGTAATCCCAGCTACTCAGGAG